CCCGCGCCCTCGCTGCGGATGCTCTCCAGGCGGCGTTTCCGCGCAGCTCGGCCGGCAGCGCAGTGGAGCCCGCAGGCGGCCTCGAGCTCCTGGGCGCCCCAGTCGGCGGTGGGGCACGGGCGGCGCCGGCGGCTGACAAGGCGCCTGGCGTCGCTCCCCATCGTGGCCAAGTAGTCGGCCCTCTCGTTACCAACGACGCCGCTGTGGCTCTTGATCCACCGAATGATCAGCTCGAAGTGTACAATGCATTTGCCACAGAGGTGCGTACTCCAGATTTCGTAATAAAGGGAGGGGGGTTTCATTTCGGGGGGGGGTCTCTTCCAGGCTATCTTGGAGGGCCTGGGGGGTCTGGGGACGATGTTTTGGAGGGTTCTCCCACGGGGGAGGTCTGAAATGGCTTGTCTTGGAGGGTCCAGACCCCCTCCCTTTTTATGACGAAATCTGGAGTAGCCAGAGTCGCGAGCTCGAAATTCCCCCTGTGCTTAACGACGCCCCGCAGCAGGTCGCGGACCACGATGCGGGCGCGGTCGCCCACCAGAGGCGAGGGCTGCAAGCGCCGCCCCAGGGGCCAGAGCAAGGCCTCCACGATGGCGGACAGCTCGCCCGCGTTTGTCGGGAGGCACTTTGCGCCCACGAAGCGCGGGTCGTTCGGCGTCGTCGCCACCTGGCCGCAAACCTCCAGCACCGGCGCGCCCTGGCCGCGACGCGGTAGACCGCGAACCCCCAGCCAGCAGCAGCAGCGCAGCGGTGTCGCGGCGCCCGCCGCCGTCCTCGCCGCGCAGAGCCGTCCGTGAAGAGACCCATGGCGTTCATCAGGTCGCCCTCGGTGCACATCGACGGCTCCGGCGGCGTGTAGATGATCTCCAAGGCCGCGCAGATCCTGGAGTTGTAGTCCTCGCGGCGGTCCACCTGCCACGCGACGGGCATTCGAGGCGGCCTCTCCATCTCGTCTGCCGACCCATAGTTCGCGTAGCCCTCGGCGGTGGCGATCGCGGACCCTGCATGGCATCGGAGCAGCAAGGGCAGGCGGTCGCTCCCAGCGGCGTCGCTGAAGCGCGCCTGGCAATACGTCTTGCGGAGCCAGTCGCGGCAAACCAACGAGAAGTCAATCTGGCGAGGCCCCTTGCGATTACCGAAGAAGCACGCCCCTTGGCCCCATTGCCCCTTCGAGAAGGCGTTCGTCGCAACAAGGTCCAACTCAGTCATCAGAGCATGCAGCATCTCGCCTCTCCAAGTCATAGTAGACGAATGATATGGGCCGACTGCACCTCCATCCGAACCGCCACGGCCGTCCTGGGCGTCGATGCTGGCAATGGCGCGGCAATCGAATGGCATTGAAACCAAACACTCTCGTAACTGATCGATAGCCCTGCACACTCACATCTCAGAATGCGCGAAAAGTGATGGCTCGTGATCAGCCGAACCTGGCCTAAGACAGGCAGCTGCAAGTCCAGGGCCACGGTGCGCGTGGAACTGAGGATCGGCAAGGACGGAGGGCCGAAGACATTCTGCAACTGCTATCGCGCATCTTTGCCAGGCCCCGACGGAGGCGACACGCGCACGACATTGCCGTCGCAGACTGCTCAGCTCCAGCAGCGACGCACCATTCTTGGAAAAGGACAACCCGTGGATCAAATTCGCGCGCAAGCTCTTCGAGCACGCGCTGCCGCTGTCGAGCAAGGACGCCTCTCGCATTCCAACCTAGAACTGTGAGGTCCCTGACGCCCCCAGCAAAGCGGCGACCGCGGACCCGAAATCACCGAGGTGGGTCGCTGATCTCGTCCAGTCTGTCCCTGAGCCCAGTGTCCTTCAGCTCCTGGTCCAGGAGCGCCGCTGCCAGAAGGTCTTGACCTACTTCCAGCATGTCCGAGGTCTTCGCACGGGTCAGGATGCGGATCGGCCTCTCCGTGCTGTTCTTCCTGAAGACCACCTGGCCCCTTATCCCAGTCGGCGTCGAAGGTCCGAATCGTGGCCTCCTCCGCGCACAGCCCGCTCGCGAGGCCGCACTCGCGCAGGATGCGGACCGCGAAACTGACCCTGCGCGACAACCCCACCTCGTGGGGCCCCTGGTCCACCTTGTGCCAAAGCTTGTTTTTTTTTTTTCGAGCGCCAGGGCAGGGGATCACATGACCCTTCTAGCGCGTCATGAACCCCCACATCTTCTGGATGCCCGCGGGGACAGTCTTCGCCTGATCACAGAACCTGCCCACCCCATAGATCTCCGTGGTGCCCTGGGACACCAGGGTCTCGGATTTCGCGAGCTCCGTGCGCAAGTGCATCTCCACCTCCTCCTTGTCCCGCGTCCCTGGGAAAGCCCGCCACGAACACCACGTGCTTGGTATTATTCCCGGCACCTCGTATCTGTCGGAAGCCTGGCCCAGCAGGTGGCGCGGCTCCGCCGTCGCGCTGCTGCTGCAGGTAAGCGCCCCACGGATCAGGCTGGCCGCTCGCGGCGGAAGCAGATCCCAGGCCAGGGCGAGAGGCAGCTGCCAAGCTCGCCGCCGAGGATCGACCTGCCTCGAGAGCCTCCAGCCTGGCCTCCTGCGCCCGCAGGCGTGCCTGCACCGAGGCGATGTCCTTCGCGCTGGACTCCGTCGTGCGCTTTGCGCCGCCACTCCAGTCCCGATGCTCTCGATCCTGGTCCCCATGGTGGCGCTGATCGAGCCGATGATGTACTGGGCCAAGTTCAACTGCGCAGGGTCCGTCGGCGGGGGCGGCGGCGGCATGGGAGGGCCTCTTCCCTCGCCAGGGATGCCTGCCGCCGCTGGCGCAACACGCCCCGCTGCCGCCTGCCGACCCTCGCCTCCGAGCCCCATGCCGACGTCGGTGTCAGCGTCCTCGATGCCCTCGCCATCGAGCTTCAGCTGGTCCTGGCCAGCCACGCGACGGCGATGATCGCATTCCCAGGCGAGGCCGCCTTCTGCTGCTGCGGCTTCCGAAGCAAGCGTGGAGGCCTGGGGCGCAGCAGTCGCCATCCCTGCCGCTGCAAAATGCGCGAGAGATGGCTGGAACTCAAAAAAACAACTCGAGCGAGATCGAGAAACAGGAAGCCTCAAGCCAGGTAGGGCAGCCTGACCAGGGCGTGCGATCTCCAGTGCTCCCTGGATGCCGTTATGAGCCAAAATGGCTACGACGAAGACGACGCCTTCGAGCATAACGACGAAGTCTCCGACGACGACGACGACGACGACGACGACGACGACCGAGGTTCCGACGATCAAGATTCCGACACTCAGGGCCGAGGACAGAGGACTACAACGGGCCTTGTAGTCGTCGTCGTCTTCGTCCTGGTCATCGTCGCCGCGTCGCCGCCGTCGCCGCTGCTGGTCGCCGCCGGCGCCGGGGGAGAGGGGGTGTTCGAACCCCCCTCCGTCGCGCGGGAGTGAGTCGGGGGTGGAAGGGGCAGGGGAGTCCCCCTGGTTCTGTTCGACGGCGCCGAATGTTCGCCCCCTCCCGTTCAAACGCGCCGCCGAACGTTCCCAAGGCATGCGCCCGTGAAACGCGCTCCATCCTTTTGATCAATGGCCTCCAAGATGGCCCCAAGAGGCCTCCCAGGGCTCCCCCCCTAGAGGGCTCCAAGGTGGCCCCAAGAGAGCCCCAAGGACGTCCCCAACAAAAAGCCACAAGAGGACATCAGAATCCCCTAAAGGAACCACTAGATGGCTCCAAGAGGGCATCCGATGCTGCAAGATGGCCCCCAAGATGGCTCAAGGTAGCCGACAATGATTCAAGATAGCTTCTGTTATACCTCCAAGAGGCCCGACGAGGGCCACAAGACGTTTCCAAGTGCTCTCGAGACCCCCATCAGGACACCCCCGAGAGGCCCAAATCCATCAAAAACCGGAAGAAAATCACTGGTGGTTGACTTCTCGCCTTTTCACTTCCGATGCGTAGGCCTTAAGATGGCCCCAAGATGGCCCAAGATGGCCGAAGGGAGGTCCAAGAGGCCCCCCACACGGCCCCAAGAGCGCCCAAGAGCGGCCCAAGAGCGCCCCAAGAGGGCCCCGAGAGGCAACTCTGATGGCCCAAGGGGGGTACCAAACGTTACGGCCCCCTCTCTTTTCACCGACGCCCTCCACGACAGCCTCAAGAGGTCCGCCAGGGTCCAAGAAACTCCGAAGAGGTCCCCAAGGGGCCCCCGATGCTTCAAGAAGATGGCTCAGAATAGCCGACGATGGTTCAAGATAGCTTCCAGGGCAAAGGCCACAAGACGATCCCAAGTGCTCTCGGAGCCCCTCCCAGACGGCCCCGAGAGCTCCCAAGAGCGCCCCACGAGGGCCCCAAGAGTCGATGTTGATGGCCCCAGGGGGGGTGCAACATTTAGGACCCCCCCTTTTGATCGATGGCCTCCAAGATGGCCCCAAGAGGCCCTCCAGGGCTCCCAAGGGACCCCCAAGAGGGCCCCAAAAGGGCCTCAAGGGGGCCCAAGATCCCCCAAAAGAGTCCCAAGAGGGCTCCAGGAGACGATTTTGAGGTCTCTGTCTTCGTCCTCGTCGTCTTCCTCCTTCTCCTCCTCCTCTTCGTCCTCGCCCTCATCATTGCCCTCATCATCTTCCCGTTCCTGTTCCTCCTCTTCCTCGTCGTCGTCGTCGTCGTTGTCGGAGAGGTCTTCTTCCTCCTCCTCCTCCTCCTCCTCCTCCTCGTCCTCCTCCTCCTCCTCCTCCTCGCCCTCCTCCTACCCATCCTCATCCTCATCCTCATCCTCTTCCTCCTTCCCTCGCCCCCACGCGGGCCCCAGTGATGACCCGAAGAGGCCCTCCACGGCCACCCCATTGCTTCCAAAAATCTTTCTGTTGACCCTGGTCGCCCGCTTTGTTCCACCACATGTGTCTCTTCGTCGCTTTTCCCGTCAACCCTCGGATATCCAATGGGCTGGGTGGGAATACGCGGAGCGTAGAGAATTCAAGATGGAGCCGAAAAGAGACGAAACACATGGATTGAGATAAATACCAGAACGTCGCTCCGATAATACAAACTTTGAGCGGACGCACCACCTCGTGTCAAAGCTCGAGCTTCTGCAATTGTTTGGGCTTGCTTGTCTTCTCTCGAAGAGTCGCAATCTCCACATTGAGCCAATCCGCCAGACCCCGAGCAAATTCTTCTTGCGTTATTTCGCCATCAATGTTGTCGTCGTGAAAGCCAAGGCCGCCGCCAAGGTTGTCGGCCTCGTCCGTAAGCCGTCCGTCACCAGAGCGGTCGTGAGCTCGGAGGACGTTCGCCCATGATTTGCTCACAGCTTTCACAGCGTCATCCAAAATTTCGTCGGGAGATCGGTCCAAGAGCTGCCCAGGAGGTAGAAGCCCAAGAGCCTTGAGCTGCGATTTGGCCCGTCCATCGGGTGCAAGCGTGGCAAAGGCAGCGACCCGATCCCAGCACTCATTGAAGTCACCAGTCCGGCGCATGCGAGGCCAGAGACGGCGAAACATAGATGATGCCGGTGGGTCTGCAAATTGGAAGGTTAACGAGGGGCTGCAGCCCTCAGGCTCCACGTTGAGGCTCTCGTGCACGAACGCGGGCGGTATCAGCAAAACCTCCCCCTTGGAGAGGTTGAAGCTGAAGCCTGGCTTCCAGCCGCCCTTAATGCTGTACGGCCTTCCATCGCCATAGGTGCCGTCTCGAGCGAAACTGCCATCTGGCACGTTCGGCGGCCAGGAGAGTCGCCAGCGTTTGGTGCCGTCGAGTTGGAGCGTGAGGGTGCTCTCGCAGTGGGAGTCCATGTGCGCCTTCGCGCCCGCGCCCGGGCTCGCGAACCAGAACTCCGGGCTGCCCAGGATCTCCCCCAGGTTCTCGCGGGAGCCCCGCAGGAAGGCGGGCAGCGGCTGCACGGGAGCGGCGAAGACAAGAGGGGTCCTGCGCACGGCGCCACGGCGACCTTGCGCGGTGGCCTCCGCGGGCGGAGCACGAGGCACACCGCGTGGAGAAGAGGGCGCTCGATCGCGCAACCTCACGCGGTCATCCTGCGAGCCAGCGCCGTCGCGGTCGGCGCCCGTCTTTTCTGCATCGCCCGGTGTGCTGGCGGACCTCTTTCAGCAGACTCTGACCCCCATCCCACCACTTCTCCCCCTCGTCGCCGCCCTTCACACCCCAGTACAGCGGAGCCAGCTGCGGTGCGTCGGGGTCCTTGGCGCCGCTGGGCGTCATCTCGCCCAGCTGTTGCTGAAAGTCGTTCATCCTGATCGGGTTCTCCTCACCGCCCCTGGCCTCTTGGACGTACTCTTTCTTCAGCCGCGCCTTTGGAAACCGCTGGGCGATCGACGAACAGGTCCAGGCATCGGGCGCCTTCTCGACATCCATGCCTGTTCCCTTCAGGGCACCAGCCACGATCACCGGCACACCCTGCCGCGCAAATCTTGCAAAGGCACCGGGGCCGAACGCCGCGGCCTCAAAGCGCCGATCGGGTGGACCGTCAACGGGGGGGGGGGGGCAACTGACCAGGAGGCGTACGCTTAGGTCGGGCATGTCCCCCTACAGGCGGATTTCGGACGGAGAATGACAAGTACCCAAAAATGAATCAAAAATAACGAAAAATAGTCAAAAAATCGTCCCCTGACTGTTTTTCTATAAGTTATCCCAGTGCGACCCTACCTAGGAGTTGGAACCCCTAGGAAAGCAGCATTAGTAGTAACAGTAACGCTAAGCTAAAGCTAAGCTAAAGCTAAGCTAACGCTAAGCCACAGCTAAGCTAAAGTTAAGCTAAAGCTAAGCTAAAGATAAGCTAAAGCTAAGCTGAAGCTAAGCTAAAGCTGAGCAACAGCTAAGCTAAAGCTAAGCTACAGCTAAGCTAAAGATAAGCTAAAGTTAAGCTAAAGCTAAGCTAAAGCTAAGCTAAAGCTAAGCTAAAGCTAAGCTACAGCTAAGCTCAAGCTAAGCTAAAGCTAAGCTAAAGCTAAGCTAAAGCTAAGCTAAAGCTAAGCGAAAAGCTAAGCGAAACGCTAAGCTAAAGCTAAGCTACAGCTAAGCTAAAGCTAAGCTAAAGCTAAGCTAAAGCTAAAGCTAAAGCTAAAGCTCCCAGGGGACTGGGGGGAACCGCTCCCAGGGGACTGGGGGAACCGCCCGGGGCGCTTTCCACTGCCCGGCCCCTTTAAGCTAGAGAGTAAGAACCCTTCTAGGCAGAGCCTAGGTAGGGAACAAAAACTATTTTGAACATTACTCCTGTAGAGGGACACGCCTGACTTAAGCGTACGCGACAGTTTCCCTACGTTTAAGCTGGCCCTGGAAATCTCCTGCCTTGCGAGGCCCACGCCCCAGGGCCAACGCGGCGGTGCGAGGCCAGAAGAAGGACCGGAGGGCGCCAGGGTAGGGCGGGAGGCGTCGCGGACCTGCGGCCGACAAGAGGGGCGGCGGAGTGGCCCCAGGCAGCGAAAGGGCAGAGGCCGTGCCATGAGTAGGTCGGACATGTCCCCCTACCAGGGGGATGTTGGACGAAAAAATTCAAATACCCCCCCAAAAAAAGATTCAACAATAATGTTGAAAAATTGCTCAAAAACTGGTTCCCGGAATATCTTTAACTAGTTTTGAATACTCCTCCCGTGGAGGGACATGCCCGACTTCATGCTATGTGGCTGGAACGGCGGGTGGGTGGGCGTTGGGGCAGGGGGGGAGGAGGGGAGAACTGAGTCTGGGGCGCAGCGACCGCCAAAGCCATGCCATCAGCAGTGCTGAAGACGTCCGTGCTCAGCCCGCCCCCGGTTGCCGGGCTGACGAGGAGCGCCCGAGGAATACCCTGAGGGGGGACGTGGTGATCCCAGAGCCCCCCTCCAGCGACCAGGGCGGCCCTTCCGGCGCCTCACGGCAGAACGCCTGAGCACGAGGATCGTTTCGGCTTCTCTGCGTGGCGGGGGGGCTCGAAGCGGGCCTTCCACCCCGAGCCGTCCTTGTTGCGGCCCCGGGGCCCGCCCAGGGCCGGGGACCTCTCTCGGCCGTCGCAGCGCGGCAGAGGCGGTCCGCACGCGCGCTCCGGTGCGGTGTGGGCACTGGAGAGAGGAGCCCTCGGAGGAGGAGGAGGAGTCCCAGGGGGGGTCTTGGAGGCCGGTGGAACTCCAATCGAGGCTTGGCCACGGATCTCACCGCCGCCCTCCTCGGAGAAGGAGTCCTCCAGGGCCTGGCGCCTCCTGGGACTGCTCCTCAACAAGCGCCTCCACCGTAGCACGGGGCGCACGGCATACGAGTTGACGAACCAGCAGAGAGAGGAGACAAGACGAGGAGGAGCGGCCGCGGCGGGGGAAGAGGGCACGCACCACGCAAGACCTTCCGTCATGATTTTGCCACGGCGCGAGAAATCTAGACTCCACGTCCTCGATGATTTGGACGCGAACGATGTCATCATGCGATTGGCTCGGGATACGGTTCAAGGATTCCAGGACTCCGCGCTTCTGGAAGCCGCACCGGACAGGTCGGGCATCGCAGAAGTGTTAGGAATCCTGGAAACCTTGGAACGTCTCCTTACCATGACTTCTCGCTCCTCTGACTGGCCGCCCATTTCGCTGCAGCCCACCCGAGCTGAGGCTCGAAGGGCGGCTCCGCGGCGTCGGCCCTGGGAGCCGCGCGCTCGCGGTACCTGAGGGGTAGCGACATGGGGGGGGTGGGACTGGCAACTATTTTTGACCGACTTAACGCTGGATCGGAAATGGCCCCACGATAGCGGGTCCGCACGTTCCTGGGCGGGGTGGGGCCATCGGGCCCCCATATCGGCAAGCAGTGAGCGAGTGGGGGTCGATATTCCCCACTACCCCCCCCCCTCCACCCTGTGCCCACCCCCCACCCCCCATCGCCGCCCCCGAGTGCCAGGCCACGGCCTCGGAGCCCGCATTGGCGCCCGCAGCCAGGGCGCTCCCGAGGCAGAGGCAGCCCGCCCTCGGCAGCAGCCCCCGCATGCGCTCTGCGCCAGACTGCCCGCCGGGGGCTCGGGCGCTGCGCAGGGGGGGGGGGGGGGGGGCGATTACGGTAGGGGCCCCGACCACAAAAAACCTTCCACAAGAAACCCGACCCTGAGCCCCCAGGGCGTCCATCGATGTTTGGTGTGGGTACGTCACGCTCTCCATCGCAAAACCATGAAAACCCGAGAAGCCCAAGGCACCCTGGAGGAAAGCAGGGTGTTTCTTGACCTGGGCCCCCACTGCAGCGGTAGGGGGTGAAGAAACCCGCAGATCTGGGCGTTGCATTTGTTTCGCTACCGGCGTATTCGCCCAGTTTCGGGCCCCAGGACTTTCACAGAACGATCCAGCTCGGAAAATGGCAGATGGGGTCTGGGACTGTTTGCGATGCTGTATGTTTGGTTCCTGTTGCCATTCGCTGTAGGTTTGTCTGTGTGTTTTTGCGTAGTGGGGGGGCGATGACCCAAGACCCCCTCGGGCCATGAAAAAATCACGACGGGAGTTGTTTAACGGTTTTCGGCCTCGGAGGGCCTGCAAAAGACGACTCGGGATGAAAAACCAGTCCCGGGGAATGGGTCGAGACCTCTGGGGGTCGACGTTCTAGAAGCGTCATGACGTCGGGGGTCTGGGACTGGGGGGTGAAGCAAGGCGCACCTCTCGTGTACCCGAGGGGCCCTGCAAGGGCCCAAAAGGGGCACGAGTAACTAGGTGCACGTCGTTCTTCTAGAGGCCTCCTAGATGGGGCCCGAGTGGATGGGGTCAGAGGATCGCGCTGCATCGAGGATACATCGCCGATACATCGCCGATGCATCGGCGCCGTCGGCGTGGAGAAAATCGGGCTCCACATCGAGCCGCATCGGCGATGCATCGGCGATGTGGCACGATCCTTCGACCTCATCTACTCCGACCCCATCTGGGAGGCCCAGATCTTCGCCCTTTCATTGATCGCCCCCGATGACGCCACGGCAAAGCCACGGCAAGCCCTGCGCCCCGGGCCCGAGTGGACGAGGCCGGCACCGCGGCAGGCCCACGGCGAAAACCCACCGCGCCCGAGGCGGAGCTTTTGCCCTGGTGCCAGCGAGGCCGCGCGTCGGAACAAACGGCGCGGCGACATGTAGCCGCGCGTCGGAACAAACGTTAGGTCGGGCGTATCCCCCTACAGGCCGAGTTGGGAGGGAAAATGAAAGATGATTATAAAAATCAAAAAAAAAAACACATTGAAATAGTCAACTAATCGTCCCCAGACTATGTTTTGACTATTCTAAAATGTTCCTCCTGTCCTCCTGTAGATGAACAGGCCCGACTTAAAACAAACGGCGCGGCGACATGTATCCGCGCGTTGGAACAAACGGCGCGGCGAGTCCGAACAAACGACGGATGTCCTGGACCCGCGCCGGCGCCGCCAAGGGGGGGGGGGCCAGCACGGATCCAAGAGATCCGCGCGGAGCGCCAAAAGTTCATGTTTATGGCGTTTTGTTCTTCTTCGACGTACGGTGGAGACCCATGCCAAGAAACACCCTGCTTGCCTCCAGGGTGCCCTGGGTTTCTTGGGTCTCGGTGGTTGTGCCCTGAAAAACGTCACGTTCCCACACCAAACATCGATGGACGTTCTGGAAACTCAGGGTTGGGTTTCTTGTGGAAGGTTTCTTGTGGTCGGGACCCCAGTGCATGGCCCCCCCCCCCCCCCGTGACGCAACTCGGGAGCGGCCAAAAGGGGGGTGTCCAAGAGGGGGGGGTGCAAATCATGACCAGCGGCATGTGCGCGGCCCAGCGGGGGGGGCAGGGACGTGATGAAATAAGAAGAGGCGCCATGAAACCTGGGGGAAATATCATGGCCCATGCCG